GGAGGCTGTAAACATCACTACGAGTCCGATCTAGTAATGAGACCCTGAACACCCTGTAGACCCCCTAAAAAATAAAAATCCTATTAGTGGATTTGGGGCAGGAAAGACTCATAAAACAATGTGATTCCAATATTTTTCATCTCCCATCAAAGGGTGGAGTCTCATTCTCACCCTTTGTGTCCAACCTGGAGTCATGGAGTCATGCTTTGGATGAATGTATTGAAAATAGCAATATGGATATTCCAGAACTTTGGCTTCTAGGCTTCATGCACATTTCAATTTTGGCTTTTTGGGATGTTTCAAATACAGTAAAGCCTAAACTAGTCTAGTAGATAACCATACAGAAAGAGTGGTCCAGCCAAAAATCAGCACCCACACCTGTAATTAGGGTCACTTTGACCCACCCTGAAACCCCAGTTCAGCTGCAAGCCAATTGTAGTCATATAATTGACTCAACATTATGAGAAATGAGCCAGGGAGATGGCTCAGTGGAATAAGTGCTTCCCTGGCAAGCGTAAGGGCCTGAATTCAATCCCTGGTTCTACACACACACACACACAGATAGAAATGATTTGTTCTTTTCAGCCATCAAGTTTTAGTATGGTTTGACATATAGCAATAGAAACTTTATATAATCTGCTTCAGATGAAATAACCTAGATTTCATGTTTTCATAATCAGCTCCCCACTGTTTACCTCTTTAACTTCTGTCATATAGGTCTTCCCCTTACACATTATAACTACCATAGCCTGCTTACTACAACTCGAACTTGCCAAGGTCAGTTCTGGCTTGACAACATTCTCTCATCTCCTTTGAGTCATTCTACAAACACTGACTCCACTAGGGCAATGTCAGTGTATAAGTTTACACCTCAATCTTTAGTTTTTGTGTTTGATATTTGTAAGTTTTGCCCCTGATGATTTTTCTTTAGTTAATTCAAGAAATATATTATTATTTTAATTTTATTCTTTTCTTGTTATTATACAGCAATGCTAGGGATTACACCCAGAACCTTTCACATACTAGGCAAATGGTCTACCACTGAGCTATACTCCCAGCCAACTCCGATAAGGAATGTTGAAGAATGTAAATGTTACATACTTAAAACAAGGAAATTATATTTTCTTGTAGTTCTACTAATTTTTTTTTCTCAGTCCTGCAACCCTTATTTTTGAGAAAAAAGAATTCCCAAATTCCTTTCATACCTTCTTTTTTTTTTTTTTTTTGTAGTGGTAATAGAACTCAGGATTTTTGTTTTGTTTTGTTTTGTTTTTTCCAAAGACAGGGTCCAACTACATAATTTAAGCTGGCCTTGAACTCACTATGTAGCACAGGCTGGCCTTACAGTTATTTCCTGGCCTCACTCATACCTTCACTCTTGACACCCTTTTCATGTGTTTAAATAATTTATGATAACTTATAAAGCTTTTTTAGTGATTTGAGTGGTTTCCCAAAAAAATGATAAGTACCTGTCCTGACCCTATAAGCTGAAAACATTTTATATGGATAAAGGAGCTTCATGCATGTAATTAAAGATGTTAAAATGAGATAATCTTGGATTATCCAAATGGACTCTAAAGGAAGACAAAAGCACAAGAACACTAAAGAGAAGGCTAGGGATATAGCTCAGTGGCACAAGTGCCTTCCTGGCAAGTATGAGGTCATTAGTTCAATTCCTAGTACTAAAAAAAGTATCAACATTAAAGCAGAGATTGGGGTTTTATAGCCGCAAGCCAGTGAAAGGCTGGAACCATCAGACAATGAAATAAAGATTTACTCCTAGACATTTATGCAGAGAAAGCCTGGCCCTATTGGCACCTTGATTTGGAATTACTTTTTTTTTTTTTTTTTTTTTTTTTTCTTGGCAGAACCGGGGATTGAACTCAGGGCCTTGTGCTGGCCAGGAAAGCGCTTAGTCTACTGAGCCCCTGGAATTACTTTTGATCCGGATAGTGTTTTGTTTTTATTCAGATTGGACTGAAGGTATAGAATGCTGTATCTCTTAGTCCTGACTTATAATTTCTACCCTGCTACTGCCTTGGTCGTTTAAGCATAGGTTTTGTCTCTCTGAACCTAAGTTTGACCATTTCGAAAGTCAGAGTAGCAAGTTGGATCAGAACATCTCAAGGAATTCTTGAAGAATTCTGTTCCAAAGGGCTTAAAAAAAAGTACTCTGAAGCTCTAATTTTCATCCACACCAAAACCAGGGAGTTAGAGTGGGTGGATAATTACATTAGCTAATGTTCTCTAGGTGGACAGAATCAACGGAAAAGGGGGACAGAATATAAATGTACAAGACGATTTACTGGCTAAGCTTTGATGACCACAGGCAGGCAAGTCCACAGTAGCCACCTCCATGCTAGAGAGCCAGAGGACCCAAGAGGCTGGAAGCACAGAACTGGAAGAACCAAAGATGCAGCACCAGTCTGAGGCTGAAAGCGTGAAAGTTTCCTGGAGTAACTGGATTAAAAAGCTGAAAAAGAGCTTGCAATACATAAGCAATAATTGTAGCAAAAGACACCCTACCCAAGCAGAATGGAGCTTTTAAAAATATAGAA